TTTTTTTCCCACCCGCTCAGCTGACTATCTGACTATGTCGCACCGCAGGGAACTCGCTTGAGGTTCAGGCAGACTCACTACAGGGGAGGGTCCAGGGCTCGCACATTCCATTCAAGATGGTTTTTAGGGTTTAGGGTTTCGACTCACACACTCGCAAAGCAGGCATGGCATTCAACGTCCGAGATTACTACAGGGACATACCCGGACAGCACACTAGGAGATGGCATTAGGAGGCAGTAAAAAAGCAACAAGAACCGATAGGGCAGTATGGTTTAGGGTTTAGGGGTTTAGGCATTGGTTGGCCTGGCCACCAGATGCAGCCACTGCTGGAGAAGTCTCCTTGACATGGGATGTGTGTGTCCCTACTTTCACATTCCCAGGCATGGAGTGTGTTTTGTGAAATGGCTTGTACATTTGTGTCATTTTGCGCCCCTTCTTCCATCTCGCGCAGCCAGTCCAGAATTCTCTCGCGAACCCAGACCTTGTCGTCCATGTGGTCGCGGAAGCTTTGGGGCCATGCTCGGGAGTGCAAAAGCAACCTAAACGCTTCAAAAAAACTACATGAACCTATATGAGAATATTGACAAGAAAGCTGGCAAGATTCAATTCGAACTACCTTGCCACTGCCAGTTCTAGCATGCGCTGCGGTCCTCCAGAAACTTCACGCTGACGACCACTAAACACGGGCTCTAAGCAAGTGAAAGCTGCGCAAAAGCACTTGCCTGTGGTCTCGCTGCACTCACTACGAATGACTCGCAGCCTCAACCAACGCTGTGGTCATGCATCCCTGCCTTGCTCTTCTCTGGCATCGCAAGCATGGCTTTTGCTGCAAGCTGCAGCACAGAAGCCTGAGTTCTACGAGCATCTGCCGCCTTCGCTTGTGCTGCGAAGTCTCCGTCCTCCATGCGCTGGTTCCGCCTGTAGCGTTTCACCATGCTCAGGACTTCCGCCAGGGCCTGCAAGGATGCCTGGCACTCCAGGGGCTCCAGCACAACTGGGAAGACGGGAGGAGAGAAAGGGAGAGAAAGGGAGAG